TGGCGAGGAGGGACGGTGCCCAGGGTCTGCCTGGAGGCGTTAGGGGTTCAGAGGAGGGCCAGGTGAACCAGACTGGGTGAACTGGAGGATTTCCAGAGGCCGAGTTGCATTTTGAAAGATGAATTGGAGTTAGCAGAATATGAAAGCAAGAGGCAGGTGACAACGACGAAGAAAGCAGAAAGTAGGGTAGGGATCGCAGTCCAGGCAGAGGGAACAGTGTGGTCAGAGGCGTGGAGGAGTGAACTGGGGTGTCACATAGGTGACCTTCGTTTAGCCTTTAGTGATGAGTGGAGTGAAAATCATGCTGTGCTACCTAAGGAGTCTGAACTTGATCTTGAAAATTATGGGGCAGGTTTTGCAGGAATTTTAGCAGGGAGATGACGCCCCCAGACATGTGCTTGGGGGTCATTCTTGTCTTAGTGTGGGGGATGAATTGAGTGCAGGCGAAGTCTGGCGTAGTTGGGTTTCTGGTGGGGCTGCCGGGGATGAGACGGGGGAGCGGGATGGCGTGTGTGGCAACGGTATAGACTCTGTGCTCATGATGTAGGCAAGAGGCTGGAAGTGTGCGGCGCTGCCGAGGCTGGGCTGGAGACGGAACCATTGGCTCACGCCGGGTGCTTGAAAGCATATGTTGGATGAGATCATCCTGGAAGTGCACCAGGGTGTGAAGGACAGCAGCCGGGGATGGCTTTCCGGGCCACTGAGGTGTTTAAGAGAGCAAGAGGGGGAAAAGCTCACCGTTCACAAGAGAACAGGGATATTTAGCACACCCACTGAGTTAAAAATTTTCAAGATCGAAAAAATATTTGGAGTTTTAGCACCACAGTTAACTTTAAATGTGCATTTAAAATGCATTGCTGTTCTGGGGGTGCCTGGGTGGCTCAGTCGCTTAAACGTCTGACTCTTGATCTCAGCTCAGGTCATGATCTCATGGTTCACGGGTTCAAGCCCCATGTTGGGTTCTGCCTGGATTCTCTGTCTCCCTCTCTCTCTGGACCCCCCCCCCCATCAAAAATAAATAAACACTGAAAAAAAAATGCATTGCTGCTCCAAAAAGACGCATTTTCCTAGCAGAGTTTTAGAATATGTACTCAACACGTCCTTCCCAATGTAAAGAGTAGACTTAATGAGTAACAATAATAGTAGAATTTGAGAATTCCAACCCATTGAGATGAAGAAAAGACTTTTTACTGTAATTTTTCATTATGCTGTCCGTCCCTTCTATAAATATTATGAGCACTTGCTCTGAGCAAGTACTGTGAAATCCTTAGGTCAGTCTGAGTTTTGCTGAAAAATTACAGTGTTAGAGTGTTTGCTGCTGGATTCTTAAATTAGTAATTTTTTGTGCTTCAGAAGATACATACAATTGGTTTAGCTTAATTGCTTATTACCAGTGTCTGTGGGAAGGTCTCAATGCTTTGAGTTTATTATAAGCATTTTCCTTTCTGTGTAATAATACTTTACCTTCATGTAGCACTTAATGAAAAACTTTGCAGGCTTTCCACCCGTGTTTTATAATCTGATACTCCTAATGAATAGCTGAGATGTGGTTGGATTTTATCCCAAGTTTGTAGCACATTGACAAACGGATTTCCTTTTCTTTTCATTTTTGTGTAATCTGTGTAAAGGGCCACTATTTCAGTAACAGGTGCATATCTTCTGCTGTTAATACAGAACATTGAGGGGTACCTGGGTGGCCCAGGCAGTTAAGTGTTGGCTCAGGTCACAGTTTCATGGCTCATGAGTACAAGCCCCACATCTGGCTCTCTGCTGTCAGCGCAGAGCCGGCTTCAGATCCTCTGTCTCCCTCTCTCTCTGCCCCTCCCTAGCTAACGTGCACTAGCTCTCTCTCTCTTTCTCTCTCAAAAATAAACATTTGAAAAAAAATATGGAACACTGAGCTGTCGGAAATATTTAATTCCTCTCTTGGAATATTCAAGAACTCCGGCCTCTCCAGTGGAAAAGTGGAGCTGCCAGCACCCTGTGAGGGCGCATGGCCCACATGTGACCGGATGACTGGGTGCCTTCGGGCTGCAGGGCAGTGGAGGGACGGGGGAGGGGTGCAGGATAACCTTGTCTGTAACCAACGTCCTGCCTGGCTCAGCGTAGGCGGAGTGGTGACCAGGGCCCACACTGCTTTTAGGGGTTTTCATTGAAACATGAACATGTTTTAATTTCTTTTAAAATCAGAAAAAGAAAATAAACTTTCAGATCAAATGAAAGGTTTTAATATATAATGTTAATATATTTCTCTTTAGGTCAGTGTGGTTATAAAGTATGATTTTTTATTTTTTAATTTTTTCTTTTTCTTTTCTTTCTTTTTTTTGTGTGTGTGGCAGAAAGGTCTCATGAAGGTAAAAGTACCGAAGGCCCATGAAAGCCAGAATGCAGCCCTGAGAGTGTGGGGGGTGGGGAGGGGGGAAGAGGTGAGGCGGGATTTGGAAAGATAAATGTGGTCTACTTTGGACTCCAGTCTTCTCTTCCTAACCTATTTGCCCTTCTGTTCATTGATCCGTTGATGATTGGTTCATTCCTTCCAAGAACTCTGGGTGTGTGGAAAGTACTGCAGGGAAATGAGTTAACACACACACACCCCGACGGGAGACAGAAATGACAGACTAAGGGCATGGTGCCTGGGTTTTGTTTCAGTTTCCATCGCTGGGCAGTTTTTCTTATAATTTAGAATGTGCTTTTGAGAGGGGCTTGGGGGGCTCAGTTGGTTAAGTGTCTGACTCTTGATTTCAGTTCAGGTCATGAGCTCGTGGTTGGTGAGTTTGAGCCCCGTTTCAGGCTCTGTGCTGACAGCGCAGAGCCTGCTTTGGATTCTGTTTCCCCTTGCTCTCTGCCCCTCCCCAACTTGCTCTCTCTCTTAAAATAAACAAAAATAAACTTAAAAGGGGGGTTGAGAAACAATGGCCAAATATGCTTAGAGCATCACTATGTTGTCTTATTTTTATTATCTCTCTGTCTTCTAAATGACTTAAAAAAAAATACGTAATGAAAAGCTTTTAAAGTAAGACTTTTGGGAAGATTCACTCACAATCCCTGTATCCTGTGGGCAGGCAGTGGGGCAGAAGTCTCAAATTCGAGAACAAAGTGTGTGTTGCCTTAGAAGGTAAAATTTGAGGGGCACCTAGATGACTCAGTCGGTTGGGCATCCCACTTCGGTTCAGGTCATGATCTTGCGGTCCGGTCCATGGGTTCAAGCCCCACATCGGGTTCTGTGCTGACAGCTCAGAGTCTGCAGCTGCTTTGGATTCTGTGTCTCCCTCTCTCTCTCTCTGCACCTTCCTTGCTTGTACTCTCTCTTTCTGTGTCTCTCAAAAATGAATAAATATTTAAAAAAATTTTTATAAGAGGTGAAACTTAACAGGTGTCAAAAGGGAATGCGAACTATTTTTTTCTGCCTTTAAAAAAAAAAATGCCCTGTGCTGAAAAATTATCATTTTATGATCTGCCTAACAGAATAGAGGTTAGAAAACACCATCATCTCTCTTTTGGGTTCTTCTCTAGAACATTCAGAGCCTGCCTCTCAGATGTGCCAGCACAAAGCTGTAATAAATGCCTAAGATTTTCAGCCTTGATGCCCTCCTTTTTTAGATAAAAAGTTGAAATATTTAAAATAAAATTAAATTTGGGGTACCTGGGTAGAGTATTGGGTTAAGCATCCAACTTTGTCTCAGGTTATGATCTCATGGTTCATGAGCTCAAGCCCCACTTCAGGCTCCATACTCTCCCTCCTTCTCCATCTCCTTCTCTCTCTGCTCCTCGGTCACTTTGCTCGCTCTCTAAAAAAAATTTTTTTTACATTAAATTAAATAATTCAAGGGGTGTCTGGGTGGCTCAGTCAGCTAAGTATCATGACCGACTTCAGCTCAGGTCATGATCTCACAATTTGTGGGTTCGAGCCCCACGTCGGACTCTGTGCTGACAGCCAGCTCAGAGCCTGAAGCCTGTTTCAGATTCTGTGCCTCCCTCTCTCTGACCCTCCCCTGCTCATGCTGTCTCTCTCTCTCAGAAATAAATAAATAAATAAATAAATAAATAAATAAATAGAATTGTGTTTTAAATTTTACCCTGTATTTCCGATTCTTATTGTCTTTCAAAAGGAACAAGATTGTCTATCGTGTTTTTTTTAACATCTCTTTTTGTTTACAACATGAGGTTATTAAGAAGATGAAATTGTTTACTATATGGGAAAATATATTTAAAAATAGAAAAGTATTGGGTAAAAGGGTTTCATCTTTCTGTTAGTAAGTTATTGCTGCTTATTGTATTGAACGTGGGCTGTGTACAAAGTCATTTTCATCTCCCATTGCTTGCTTTTCACATGACCTTTGCCACTCTTTTATATTTTCTTCTAGGAAGTGAGTTATCAGGCAGGACCTATAGTTTTTTTATTTTTATTATTTGTATTTTTATTTATTTTTTGGGAGAGCATAAGCAGGGGAGGGGTCGAGAGAGGGGGACCAAGGATCTGAGGCAGGCTCCGGACTGACAGGCGGACAGCAGTGAGTCTGATGCGGGGCTCGAACTCATGAACTGCGAGATCATGACCTAAGCCAAAGTCGGGTGCTCAACCGAAGGAGCCACCCCGGTGCCCCAGGGCCTATAGTTTTAATGTAGAGAGATGAAAAAAGTAAGAAATGACTAGTGTAGAGGAATGAAAAAAGTAAGAAGAGTAAGTTTTGAGAAAAATCTGAACATACTTCTCACGATTAAAAATAAAACATCAGTTACTTTCTTACTGTCTTCATGTAACCTGTGAGACTCCCCAGAAGTACCCCCAGGTTGGAGTTACACCATTTAAAAAATTCCATTTGTAGTATAAGCGCTCTTGGACTTCCCATGGTGCCTGATTCATTAGCTTACTTCTTGTTTTTTAAAGAATGAACCACCACGGCTCATTTCAGTTTTGTTCTAGTACCGTGTGCCTCTCTCTCTTCTTTCCAGCCCTGCTTGTGATTCTGAAACATATTCCTTTTGTGATGCCTTTACAGGAATTTGTAAGCGTCTGGGTTCGAGATCCTCGGATTCAGAAGGAGGACTTTTGGCATTCTTATATTGACTATGAGATATGTATTCATGTAAGTATTCAGTCAGTAGTCTGCAGAAATCATGGTAATTTTCAGGCAGCATATGCATTTGATAGGACACTCTGTTATACTTTAAAATTGAAGTTTGTAAAAATTTTCCTATTTCAAAGAACTGACTTTGAATGATTACAAGTAATGCCTGTATCTCAAGTGAAGTAGTTAAGATGCTTCCTAAAGTTGGAAAATGACTCATTTGAATTCCTTGTTGCAGCTTTGCTAATGTTAATATTTTAATGTTTATTGCCTTCATGTATGAACATGTGAATACATCTAAAATTCACAGGTAAAGTGTATTTATAGCTCATTAATGGTACTTCTTTATGATCTGTTATAGCATATTTCTGGGTAATATATTGCCTGATAAATCTTAGGTTTTAAGAGGATATAGAGCTCTCTGGGAAACTGATATGCAGTGGTTTTATAGGTGGAATAAGAAAGTAGAAAACAGATAATGTGCAATTATTTTGCCTTAGTCTAGATTCATGATTAACATAGGTAAATAACTAGAAATAATGTGCTTTATTTGGAAATACTCTATTATAATCTCTTGAATATTTTTGTGTGGTATATGGCCTTCTGTAATCACCTTGGACAAGGGTCAGCAAACTTTTTGGTAAAGAGCCAGATAGTAAATGTCTTCAACTTTGTGGGCTCTCTATTCCTTCTAAAAACTACTCATTTCCACTATTGTAGGGTGAAAGCAGCCATAAACAGTACACAAATGAATAAATGTAACTGTATTCCAAGAAAACTTTATTTGCAAAGACAAGTGGGAGGATGGGTGTGGCCCCCAGGTTATAGTTTATTGGCCCCTGATCATGAAAATAGTTACTTTTCCCATCTGTTTTAGTTCATGCTTCTCTTGGGAGTATAGACACGTACTCAGATTTTATCTGTGGGTATATTCAAGTCAGGAAAAATTTAGCTACCTTTAGTCTCCCCATTGTAAACAGTTAAACTGGTAGATTGCACACTCAAGCATCAGCAATAAAACTTTTTTTTCTCCTTTCAGCCCTTTTTTCTTTCAAAGTTCCCCAACTTAGAAAAAGTAAAAAAAGTAAAAACTCAGAACTGCTTTTTAAAAACATTTTTTTACAACTGCTTTTTTGATTGTGTTGAAGGACACTGCCGGGGGAGTGTACCTTGTATTTTCTTGTATTTTGATTTTGGTTTTACTCATAAAGTCACACCAGATTTGCATTCTGGGTGGGAAATTATAAGATGGGTATATAAGAGTAAGCATTTGAAAATGAAACGGAATTCTTTAGTTGCCTTTTTAACTTCCTCTAAAAAATGTGTGGGTCTTTATCACACTTCATGGTAGATGTGAAATTTAATTATCCTCAGGGAGTTAATGAAAGCATAGATTTTTCTCTGCTACTTAAGTTGCATGAGGTGAATTGAGAAAGGCCTGTCTCAGGCCAGAAATGATAGATTCCACAAATATTATTTGATAGTCCTTCTGGCATTTCTCTGAAATGCTAATAAATTGACAAGGACTAAATCTTCTTGGCTTGGGAGATAACAGAAATCAGCATATAGATTTAGAGGAGCTTAATAAGTTAGTGATCTCAGCATAGTCTGGTCCTAACTGTCCATACCTGTTTATGATTAGGAATGGAGGTGGGGGCGGGGCGCCTGGGTGGCTTAGTCGGTTAAGCGTCCGACTTTCGCTTAGGTCATGATCTCGCGGTTCGTGGGTTCGGGCCCCGCGTCGGGCTCTGTGCTGACTGCCAGCTCGGAGCCTGGAGCCTGTTTCAGTCTGTGACTCCCTCTCTCTCTGACCCTCCCCTGCTAACGCTGTCTCTCTCTCTCTCTCTCCTAGAAATAAATAAAATATT